CCCACGAATTTCATGCACCGGACCTCTAGTTTTTCTTATAAACAAAAATGTAAGTCAGACCCCAGGGTTGCCCATGGAACTGTTGCTAATTCTTGTAAATTGATTTAGTTATTTAATAAGCGCCACTATCTTATTTTTCATATAATTAGAGTACTAACTTGAGTTTTCATATTAAAAAAAGACGTTTGTTATCACCTGATAATTTATGCTTAACCAGTCAACCTGAGTTTATTTTCTCCTTAATACTAACTACTACAATTAGAGTAAATGGGTAACAGCTTTCACATAGCCTGAAAAATAACTGACTGAGCTAAACCATCGATTTCCCATAAAATAGTCTACTTTATTAAAGTAACTTAAATATCACCGAAATGCATTCTAAAATGTTAAGAGTATGTTTTAAAGGGAAAGAAGGTTTCAGAGATTTCTGATTAATCCTCTTATTTCCAACCTGATCCATCCTTTCCCTATATAGTATTAATATTTTCTTTTTTTATTTCAGAAAGGAAGGGAGAGGGAGAGAGAGAAATATCAATGATGGGAGAGAAGCATTGATTGGCTTCCGCCTACACACCCCCCTACTGGGGATCGAGCCTGCAACCCAGCATGTGCCCTGACAGGAATCCAACCCGGGACCCTTTGGTCCACAGGCCGACACTCTATCCACTGAACCACATCAGCTAGACAGTATTAAATTTTAAAATAAGTTAAATTAGCCAGGCCAGCGTGGCTCAGTGGTTGAGTGTTGATCTATGAATCAGAAGGTCACAGTTCAATTCCCTGTCAGGGCACATGCCCAGTTTGCGGGCTTGGTCCCCAGTAGGGTGTGTGCAGGAAGTAGCCAATCAGTGATTCTCTCTCATCATTAATGTTTCTATCTCTCTCTCCCTCTCCCTTCCTCACTGAAATCAATAAAAATGTATTTTAAAAAATAAGTTAAAAGTTGTGGATTTGCGCGTGATGAAAGTCTTCTAAAACTGACTGTACAGTGATTCTCAACCTTCTGGCCCTTTAAATACAGTTCCTCATGTTGTGACCCAACCATAAAATTATTTTCGTTGCTACTTCATAACTGTAATGTTGCTACTGTTATGAATCGTAATGTAAATATCTGATATGCAGGATGGTCTTAGGCGACCCCTGTGAAAGGGTCGTTTGACCGCCGAAGGGGTCACGACCCACAGGTTGAGAACCGCTGGTATAGACTGATAGTTGAAGAACATTGTGAAAGTACTAAATTATGAACATATAATTTGTATGGAGTATGAATTATATCTCAACAAAGCTGTTATTTTTAAAAAGTTGTACAGAATCCAAAAAGAATAAACAGCCCTGTCAATTTAAGCTAGTAATTTCTCTCAAAAGACTCAATGTTGAGTTTCTTTCTCTTATCCACTGTGTTCTATGTAAAAATCCTCAGCCACATAGCTGTGGCTTTTTTTTTTTTTTTAACCTGGCAGCAAAGCCGCTCTTTTTAATTCATCCCTGGTAGCATTGTCTTTCTAGAATGTATTCTTCATAGTGGATGCAGATATCAATAACCAACAGAAGGATTTTACCCTGCTTTCCCAAAATGCCCTGTTGGCATTCTTCTCTTGCTCCTTTTCCATCATATACATGGACTTTAAGTCCTTCTTATTACCTTACAGGAGAATAAGTTACCATTACAGTTCCATTTGCCCCAGCAACAAGCCACTGGTTACTCTGACTTGTCATCCTATTTTTTTGTGCAGACACCTCTGTCTGACCCTTCCCGAGAGACTTCATCTAAATCAGCAGGTTCAAGTCTACCTTGGAAAGCAACCTGTTCCACAAACAAAGTAAAGCCCACTTTCCTAACTTGAATCTCAATAAAATAGATCACCAGAGAAACCGACATTCTGGAAGTACTCCTAAGGCTCCTCCCTCAAGTTTGCTGCAAGCTTCCAGATACTTCCAGAACCACACAGTAGTAAAATCCACTGCTCGCTTGGCTGCTTGACAGTAAGTCTTTTGGAAAGCTTCTAGAATGCCGCAGCTGCAGACACTTCCTCTCCTGGGCTCTGGCCAAAGCACAAGGCTTTTTTCAAACTCCTGGACTATCTGAAGAGTCTAGAATCTTCTCACTTTAAACAAGCTTCTGACATAATTTTCTTCATAAATAAATGTTATTTCCAGAAAATACAGATGCTTTTGCTGTACTAGCTGTAGGCTAAATCAGAAATGTTGGCTAATGTTTAACTGTAATAAGAAAGTATAGATTTGTCAGATAAGAGGTTATCATTTTTTCATTGCTAAAATATATTCTGTCACTAAAATTTCTGTCATCTTTCCTCATCCTTAAACCTCACAATGAATCAAGAACCAATTAGCCTACACACATTACTAAAAAGAAGCTTGAAAATTGCATTTCAAAATAACACAGCTGCCCTGGCTGGTTTTGCTCAGTGGATAGAGCATCAGCCTGTGGACTGAAGAGTCCCAGGTTCGATTCTGATCAGGCATGCCTGGTGGTTGTGGGCTTGATCCCCAGTAGGGGGTGTGCAGGAGGCAGCAGATCAATGATTCTCATATTGATGTTTCTCTCTTCCTCTCTGAAATCAATAAAAATATATTTTAAAAATAAATAAATAAAATGATAGAGCTAATATAAAAAGTAAAAGCATTAATCATATGGAGACTAAACATACCTTTACCTTACATCATGCTGCAAAATAAATTCTACATGGCCCTGACCAGTTTGGCTCAGTGGCTAGAACGTCGGCCTGTGGACTGAAGAGTCCCAGGTTCGATTCCGATCAAGGGCATGTACCTTGGTTGCGGACACATCCCCAGTAGGGGGTGTGCAGGAGGCAGCTGATCGATATTTCTCTCTCATGGATGTTTCTAACTCTCTATCCCTCTCCCTTCCTCTCTGTAAAAAATCAATAAAATATATTTTAAAAATAAATAAATAAATTCTAGATGGATTAAAGAGTTAAAATCAACAACAACAAAAAAGATATTGGATCTCTCAAAGCAGAGAATTCCTAAATTTAAAAATGAATAAACAACCTACTGAAAGTCGGGTGGTATTTAAATACACAAAACAGCCCTGGCCAGTGTAGCTCTGTTGGTTGGGTATCATCCCGTGCACGGAAAAGTTGCTGGTTCAATTCCCGGTCAGGCACATGCCCAGGTTGCAGCCTCCATCCCTAGGTAGGGGGGTGCAGGAGGCAGCTGATGGATGTTTTGCTCTCACATTGATGTTTTCTCTCTCTCTCCCCCTTTTCCTCCCTTCTCTCTCTTAAAAAAAAAAATCAATAAATACACAAAATAATTTAGGTTTATGTATGTTTTAAAAAACAACTATAAATTCTAGCCAGTTTGGCCTGCGGACCAGAGTCCCTGGTTGGATTCCGGTCCAGGTCAAGTACCTCAGTTGCAGGCTCCTCCCGACCAGGGCTGGGCTCATGCAGGAGGCAACCAATCGATGTGTTTCTCTCACATCGATGTTTCTCTCTCTCTTTCCCTCTCTCTTCTACTCTCCCTAAAAATCAATGGAAAAATATCCTCAGGTGAGGATTAACAACAACAACAAAAAGAACTATAAACTGGGAAACTAAATAGAGGTCATTTAAGGCACTCTTACAACTCAAAAAGAAAACCACTGACATGTTAATAGAAAAGTGGATTAGAAATGTAGAAAATCACAAAAGAAGAACTATAGATAACCAAACCAAACAAAAAAACCCTCAGAAATCAAGCACACAAAAAATTGAAATAAGATAGCTACTTTCTGCCCATTGAATAAACAAATTAACAATTAAAAATATCTAATGATGGTGCTGTGTGCAAAGACACTTAAAATGAACATATCCTTCAATTTGTGAATTTAAACAAAAAAATAAGTTTTGAACATTAACATCAATTTTCATTCATTACTGATGGGAATAAAAAATGTTACAGCCACTTTGGAAGACAGTTTGGCAGTTTCTTAAAAAATTAAACATACATTTACCATACAATCCAGCAATCATGCTCCTTGGTATTTACTCAAGGAATTGAAAACATGTTCACATAAAAACCTGCACACAGATGTCTACAGCATCTTTATTCATAATGGCCAAAACTTGGAAGCAACCAAGATAAACTGTGAATGGATAAACTGTGGTATATCCAGACAATGAAATATTATTCATTGCTGAAAAGAAATGAACTATCAAGCCATGAAAAGACATGGAGGAACTTTAAATGCCTATTACTACGTGAAAGTAGACAATCTGAAAAGGCTATATACTATATGATTTCAAGTATATGACATTCTGGAAAACACAAAACTATGAAGACAGTAAAAAGATCAGTATGTGTTGGAGGTGAATAGGTGGAGCACAGAGGATTTTTAGGGCAGTGAAAATACTCCACATGATAAATACACACCATTATGCATTTGTCCAAAACCACAGACTACGCAACACCTAGAGCAGTGGTTCTCAACCTTCTGGCCCTTTAAATACAGTTCCTCATGTTGTGACCCAACCATAAAATTATTTTCGTTGCTACTTCATAACTGTAATGTTGCTACTGTTATGAATCGTAATGTAAATATCTGATATGCAGGATGGTCTTAGGCGACCCCTATGAAAGGGTCGTTCG